GTGCCTTTGGAATGCCATCTGTCTTGAATTAACATCCACCTGGGATCATGTTTCGATGACCAATATGGACAGATTACTGGAACCTTAAAACCTCTCTTGCTTTGTAATTGACATTTAAACTGTTTGAAGTTTCTCATTAAGTCCTTTTTTACAAATTAGGTGCAGATGTATAAAGCTAAATGTACAGTACTAAGGGAAATTAGGTCACCTGAAAGCCCAATAATAAAACGCATCTATTAACTGTTTGAACGCAATGAGTACATTAAAATTTAGAGATCGACTTTATGCCCCAAATTCTTCAAAGTTTCATCATTTCCCTTTCATTGCTGCAGAGCCCCGATGCCAACCATTTTTAATTAAAATGGCAGAGAAGAAAGCAGGCGTGGTCGCCCTGCCCACGGCAGCAGAGGGAAGAAGGCAAGGCAGGCGGCCTCAGGAACATCCAGTAGCACGGGCATTTCCCCCGGCCTGAGCAACCCCTGATCGCAGAGGCCTCCAGCCCAGCAGCTCGTTGTGGCATAAGGCAGCAGAGCCGCGCAGAGCTCGCTTGCACGGCTTTCGTGAGCAGCACAGACAGGCTGCACTCAGCGAAGTGCCGGGCAGCCCAGGCACGGCCCGCTCCCCTCCCATCAAGGGGTGGCTTTGCGCCTTGAGTTCAGCAGCCAGCAGTTGGCAGCACTTAAACGCAACGCCGTTGAGTACCTATGGCATAAGGCCCGTGAACCCTCTGTGCCAGTCACGGGTCTCTCAGGATAAATTAGGCCGCAGCCCACATGAAATGCACAACTGCAAATCCTTTTGGCATCACTGCTAGCGTATCGGTTCTTGACATCATGCCAAGCGGCGTAACCAGCCACGCTGGCTGTGTTGCTGGGTGAGCAAGTGTATCTCAAACAGTGCCAGAGCAGGACCTAACCCAGTTCCCCTACACACAGCTCTTTTCTCCATGCCTGTCCACATCTTCTGTTCAAGAGAAAAACTGCTGCGTATTTCTAGAAGAAAGGAAAAACTGCACCAGTCTGTATGTAAGCACACTGCAACGCCTGCGAAAGAACAAACACAAAGTAATGCTTTCCTGGAGTAGACAGAGCAATGCATTGGAAAGGGGAACAAGACACAGCAGTAATTCACTCATACCTCGTGAGAAAGACCTCTAGTGAAAGTGTATTTGCAACAAGACTGTTTTGCTCGAACACTTTATAACTGGCAGCTCCCATTTTGCTAATGGTTCCACAAAGGCAGGTGGAGGGCCATGAAGGATCGCTGAGGACTGAGACAGCTTTAAGCAGACTTGTTGGGGTGCCAAGGGTGATCAGCTGTATACACTTGGCTTTGCACCCTGCTTCTCATTAGCATTAATTAGACAGCATCGTACCTCTGCTGCTGCCAGGACAATAACTGGCTCAGGCAGTAGTTTCACAGTCCCTAATACTGGGTATGGAATTGCCAGAGCACACGCCAGGGAGCTGGCATCTTTCTGCTAACTGCAGAGGAGAGCAGAGATAGGCTCAGCATAATGTTAGGCCAGCAGGAACACCTTTAAGCAGGTGCAGTGTATATATGATACATATAGCCACCCCAAAGCTTGATGTTAGAGAGCTCAATTAGGTTCACCCCCAGGCAGAGGGTCACAGCATGAGGGACTCCATCAGTGGTGTTCAAGCCACCCCTCTCCTCCTCAGCACACGAGCCACAATCAGGTGCTCACCTAGCCAGCAGTGTGACCACGCTAGTTTCAGTGAACCAAAGTCACTTTCTAGAAAAACAGGTTTTGTAGATGTTTCTCAACAGTTCTGCCTCATAGAGCGTTCTTATCACTCACTAGAAAGTCAGTAAAACTCACCCCAAGCCCATAATCTTGAAAGACACACTTAAAAATGCGTTGAGTACAAAATGAATGATTATTATTATTATTATTATTATTTTACAAAGGTGCAGGAAAAAAATCCCTCACAGACTTAATGCTTTATTGACATGCTTGATTAGAGCACTACACACACTGAGCAAGATCAGCTGCCAGTGAGGACCACAGATGACGTCTTCCCATTTAAATGTTGCAACAAAGAATAGAACTACTTCACAAGTAACAAAGGGGAACCCTTTAATTTGCTGAAACAATTTCAGCTCTCATTGCATTAGCACCCTCCAGCGTCCAATCCATGAAAAGCATCATCAAGACTAATTTGCCAAGCAGACTCAAACTTGTCCTGTGAGATACAAGATGAAACAGCAGCAGGATCCTGGGAGAGAAGATAGCAACTGGAGACAACAAAAGAAACTCCCAATTCTGCAAAATATCTTCTGTTCCAAGGGCAGAAATTGTAGATGACATACGCAGAGTCCCTGAGCGAGACGTGACGAGGAATTATCATTAATCCTCTATTACCTTCTGAGAAGACACTCGGTGAGCCTCACCACACCACAGCAATCCATCACTCTCATTTAGAGGCACAGCAGCAGAAGCAGCACTCCTCCAGCAGCACTCCCAAAGCCGTACACATCCACGTCGTGCATTCCATACTCTGCAGCACTCCGCCAAGATGTGAGGTTAGCAATGTCACTTTCGACTGACGTGGTGCAGGCACGTGGGTATGCTTCTGGCCACAACTTGCCATGTAAAGGAACAGATGTAAAAAGCCCTCTTGTTCATGGGGGAAGCACACTTGCCTTCAGATAGCTGAGGGCAACCAGGTGCAATGTTCTTTTGCATCAAAAACACTAAGCGCAGAGAGAACCCTCCACACAGATCTGTGGTGAAAAAAGTTTTCATATGCAATGCTTTACTGCAATATTGCTTGTAAAAGCACACTTAACGCCTCCAGCAATTAGAAAAAAAAAATAAAGAACAGCTGAATTTATTACTTCAAAACAGCTGAAAGGAGTTTTAAAAAACTTTTTCCAAGAAAAAAATCTTTCCAAAGCAGGGGAAGCCCAAAAGGCCTTGGAAAATCACAAGTGAGCAAAAACAGATTGTAAATGCTCTGAGCACTGTCAGTTTCATCTGCCTGCTAACAGCACAAATACTCCAACAGCATTCTCACAGCAGCACTGCAAGGACAGCAACATCTTCGTAAAGACACAAAAGTGGCAGCCATAGGACATGCACTGATGTCCAGACCCAGAGCGCCTGCTAGCTCCTGCTACAGACCACAAAGCTGCTAATGAAATCCAACCAACAGGTGCATCAATTGCCAAAGTTTGAAGTCATCCCTGTCTTTTCTGTCTGCATTGCACACAGCTAAATGGCTGTCCAGATGAAATGTGAGCAAGGACTCCTGGTTCTTCATCCAGCTCAGGTCAGCAACCGCTTAGCTGCCCCAAATTCAGGTCCTGCAAGAGCTCGTGGACTGCACCTGCGTGGCAGCCCTTTGGGCTCCAAAGCTGCACAGGTGATGAGGGACAGGCAGTTCCCACTGCTGACAGGCTGTGACATCTGCTGGGAATCAGGCAGGTCATCGAGTCCAATTCCAGGCTCCACAAAGGATCACCAAAATCCAAACCCTATGTCTGAAAGCAGTGTCCAAATGCTCTGTGAACTCCAGCACTCGGGGCTGTTCCCACAGCCCAGGGCAGCCCATTCCATGCCCACCACCCCCTGGTGCAGCCCCTTTCCCTGACCCCCAGCTGCCTCTCCCCTGACAGCTCCATGCCGTTCCCTCGGGCCCTGTTGCTGTCACACAGAGCAGAGCTGTGAGGAGCTGCAGCCACCATTAGCTCAGCTGCTCTGAGCACACCCGGGGACCTCAGCCGCTCCTCATATGTCTTGTCCTCCAGACCCTTCCACATCTTTGTTACCCTTCCTTGGATGCTAACAGTTTTATGTCCTTCTTAGCATATACGATCCTGTACAGGGGGAAAAGGAAAGGCATTTACATGCATGCAACTCTCCAGCAGCAGGCTCAGTCAGTCAGACAGAGGATGGGATATGACTCTGGGTGCCCTGCAGGATGGTGTTACTGAAGGCAGGAAAGTCTAACCTGGACTGTAAGGCCCCTAGCACAGCACAAACAAGTCCCAGGGCTCCCCAAGAACACCATGGTCAATACTGTCTGTACACAGCAATACTTACATTTATTACAGACTCATCACATGCTCTTCTGATAGTCACAGAATGGCCAGGGTTGGAAGGGACCCCAAGGATCATGAATCTCCAACCCCACTGCCACATGCAGGGCCACCAACCTCCCCATTTAGTACTAGACCAGGCTGCCCAGGGCCCCATCCAACCTGGCCTTGAACACCTCCAGGGACAGGGCATCCACAACCTCTATGGGCAGCCTGTTCCAGCACCTCAGCACTTTCTCTGTAAAGAACTTCCCCCTGACATCCAACCTAAATCTCCCCTTCGTTCAACTTAAAACCATTTCCCCTTGTCCTGCTGTTATCAACCCTTTCAAAGAGTTGATTCCCCTCCTGTTTGTAGGCTCCCTTTAGGTACTGAAAGGCTGCAATGAGGTCACCCCGCAGCCTTCTTTTCTCCAGGCTGAACAAGCCCAGCTCCCTCAGCCTATCCTCATAGGTGAGGTACTCCAGCCCCCTGAACACCTTTGTGGCCCTTCCCTGGACCCTCTCCAACAGCTCCACGTCCTTCCTGTACTGGATTCCCCAGGCCAGGACGCAGTACTCCAGATGGGGCCTCCCAAGGGCAGAGTAGAGAGTGACAGTCACCTCCCTGTCCCTGCTGGCCACCCCTCTTCTGATGGAGCCCAGGATACCATTTGCTTTCCGAGCTGCAATCAGCAACGAAATGCCTACAGTATCCAGGCCATTCAGGTGCCGCAGGTGGGGCGTCACGAGGTCAGAGCACGGAGGCCACTCACCTCCCCACCCCTCCGCCCGCGCCGCCTCCGGCCCTCCGCACCGCCCGACGCCTGCCCGACGCCTGCCCCGCACCGCCCGCACCACCCTCGCCGCACAGCTCCCCCCTCAGGCGCCGCGTCCCGACCCCTCTCCCTCGCCCCCGATCCGCTCGTGCCGCGGGGCGGCGCCGCCTCACTCACAGCCACCGCCAGCCCCGCGTCGCCGTCGCCGCCGCCGCCGCCATCGCCGCCTCGCCCCGCCCCGCCGTTGCCTATTGGCTGGGGAACGCCGCCGCGCCCCTCCCCCGTGGGGCTGATTGGTGGGAAGGGAGGAGGAGGTGTGTCGCGCGCCACGTGGGGGTGTGGAGCCGCCCCCCACGTGCCCTTGCAGGAGGGGCGGGGCGCTCGGAGCGGCCGGTAGCGGGGCGCCTCCTGGCTGCCGGCTGCGCTCCCGCAGCGCGGCGCCCTCTGCCCGCCCGCGTGCCCCCAGCGCCTCCCTCAGGGCTCCGAGGTGACGGTGCGGGTGCTGGGCGCGGGGCAGTGCCGGGTAGCCGGCAGCGGCCTGCCCTGCCCCCTGCCGTATTGTAAAAGGCCCGTAGAGCTATTAATGAGCCGCCCTGATAAAAATACGCGATCTTTATTGGAGTCTGTGTGGAAGCCATGTAGCGAAGAGCCCCGTGCTGCCGCCCGAAGCCGTTGCGCGTCTCCGTCCTCCTGATGCTCATTTACTGTGATTTGCAAGAGAGAAATGAGCATCGCAGCAGCGCGGGCGCGGCGTGCCTTCCTCGTGGTGCTGTGAGCACAAAGGGCGTCCTCAGCTCCTTGTGCAAAAGTGGGGAATAAACATCTGTCAGCACCGATCTTGCGGAGGTTTCGGTGACGCTTTCTGACAGGAGGGCATTTGTGATGGCCGGCTGTGTCACGGGGCCTCTGTGGTGCCAGAGCTGCTTGGGGCCTGCTCTGATGGCTCAGCGCAGTGACAGCTCCTCGGGGGCCTTGGCTGGGACTCGCTGCTCTCCTGGAGGAGAGACAGGCTTGGCCTGGGCAGTGGGTTAAGGTGATAACGGGGTGATATAAGTGGGGGTGGCTAAGCGAGGGGAAGGAGAGGCAGAGAAGGGGTTCTGAGCCAGAAGAAAGATGGGTTGGCGAGCAGGAAGTATTTACTTTTCTTCTCCCCAACCTCCTCTTCAGACAACGGACTGAGAGCCTTTCTCCTTGGAGCAGGCAGCCCCTGCTCAGCCCTCAGGCCTCACAGGCAATTCTCTGCTTCCTCAAGGTTCCTTGTGGGATGGTTGGCACTCAATGCCACAACAGAGGGAAGATGAAAGCTAAAAAAGGGAGAAACATCTGGAAAAAATGAAGGGCCAGTAGCTGAGGTGGAGCTGCAGGAAGTAAAAACTACTAGAGCAGGTCTCCCAGTAAATCAAAGAAAACACTAGCTAGAAAGTATCAAGTTATAGAAGCCCTACTTCGTACATTAAGAGGATTTTACAGTGAGTGCATATTGCTATCCAGTTCAGATAACGTTATACTTACTACACAGCTTTTGGGGAAGATTACTGAAAAGCATCTGCCTGGAACCACTGCAATTCAGAAAAGTCAAATATTGGCATGCTGGAAGTGGTTCACAGCCTACGTGTTCCATGCGCTGCCTGGAAACACAGTTTGTAAGGGAATTTGAAGTGGGGAGCTGTGCTTGCCAATACTCCAGGTAGGAGCTTGTGATACATTTCAAAAAGTGGTGCGGTTTCAGTATTGGTTTTCTTTCTCATTCCTTATATAGCCTCATGTTTTATTTGTTGTGATCCACTGAGCATATGTTTCCACTGGCTGGGAGCAGGTCTGTTTCCTGAGTGCCAAGTATTCATTTACCAGTGCACAAGGCCACGAGTTGTTTGGGACAAGGGTGGATAGTGGTAGGACAAGGGGAATGGTTTCAAACTGAGACAGGGGAGGTTTAGGTTAGATATTAGGAGGAAGTTTTTCACACAAAGGGTGGTGACACACTGGAACAGGCTGCCCAAGGAGGTTGTGGATGCCCCATCCCTGGAGGCATTCAAGGCCAGGCTGGATGTGGCTCTGGGCAGCTTGATCTAGTGGTTGATGACCTTGCACGTAGCAGGGGGGTTGAAACTGAATGATCATCGTGGTCCTTTTCAATCCAGACCACTCTATGATTCTATGATGCTATGATTCTCTCCTCATATGCATCACCTGGGCTTGCTAGAAGCAGGAGCTACAGGCAATGTCCACACTGCACCCAGTGCACAGGAGAACCTACGCTGCAGGGCACCTTTGGTTTTGCTCAGTGTGAGTCAGGCGACAGGGCATGGTGATGACTGCTGCAAGGGTGGTGGCAGAAGTGAGTACGTTATGCTTTAGTTCAGAAGGTGAAAAATAGCAGGAGTAGAACTACTCGGAGCAAATGCTCTTTTTTAAACAAATAAAAAAAGTCCATCACAGTGGGTTTTCCAGTGTGAAATACTGTAAAGCTACGGAGCATGCAAGGAGGAAAGTATGATGTATGTGTAGATGAGGAGGGGGACAAAAAAGCGGACTCTGCTGTTACGGATGTTATTTTGACAGGTTTCAAAACTCAAAATATTCTGTATATTTTACAGCAGATTGTATGTGAATGCTTGTTAGTATTCATATGCCCTATGCTTTTATTCCCAAGTCCCCTCTCCCAGTAAGTCTAGTAGAGTTTTCACCTCAAAGGAGGTTCCTTAAACTTGAGTTGCTGCAGCATGCTTCAAACCCCACCAAATAATCTGCAGGCTGTTGATGCTGTAATGCTATGGTAGCTTGTATGCCATTAAAATGGATCACTGAAATGTCCATCTATAGATCCTTTCCTCAATACGTTGTGTCAGTGTACTGTATAGATCCTTTAATCCATAGACTATTATTAAAATAGTGGATTAAGGAGTTGTTTGGGATGAGAGCATGCTGTATATGTAACAAAACAGTTTAGCTGAGATTAGTATTTATTACTCGACAGAAAAATTGATTGAAGGATTCATAGATGCTGATAATATCAGAGCCTGGGAGACACTAATGCATTTGATTGTTGTGTTTTTGCCACGTGAGCCCTTGTTAAGCAAACCTGTTATACACAAACTAACTAAATACTGATGTAAAACACGGTGCTTAGATGGCTTAAAACATTTTGCATGAGGATGTGCATGGAAAGGACATTCAGACTTGTGAAATAATAACTTTTAAAATATGTTTAAGAGAGTTCACAAGGTGTTATACAAATCACTATCAACTTACCCTAACCCAAAGTGAACTGGAAAAGATGTATTTTTTTTCCATGCTATTTTCTTCTGCCAGCAGTCTTCCTGAATTTATCAGAAAGGGGAGTTTCATTCAGCCATGTGTTGAAGTTTAACCGACTAAAACGGTCGCAGTTTTACAGACTTATCTTTCATGTAACAGAAGGTTGTCAACAAGCCTTTTCAGTGACATCTCCACATTAGGATGGCAAGCAGATGATTTGAGGATTACCAGGCTGCTGGACAGGTCATCTGGGATCTTAAAAATCTCTTCTATATAGGACCAAATCTGCAGCCAGAAGCTGTTTACTGCAGGGAAGGGGGAGGGAAATGGGTTTTGTTTAAAAGGCATAGACCCGTGGTTTTGTTTGTGTCTGCCACAGATCATTGTCTTTAAAGCTCCCTCTGTATAATGGAGAGCTGAACTTCGGTTGACACTTGTTCCTAATGAACCACTGGGCAAAGTCGAATTTCAGTACTGAAGCTAAGATGAAAAGAAAAAATTGTTTATAAAATGTATGATATTCACTAAGTGGTGAGTGGAACAAAGCATTTTTTTTTTCCCCAAGGTAGAAATTGTTAATATTTAGTTTCAGTTATACTGAGTGGCTCATTTAGAAAATAGTTTCTAAGCAGAGTTTTAGGAATTTTTTTGAAAATCCTGTTGTTCAGGTCCACATTACATTACAGCTTAGTTTGAGTATTTCTGAAGGGGGGTGCAGGCACATCCGTATCAAGTAAAACTGCCTGCAGTTGTGCCAGTGCTGGAGATTTCTCAGGTTGGACATTAGGAAATAGTTCTCCAAAAGAGTGATCAGGCTCTGGAATGGGCTGCCCAGGGAGGTGGGGGAGTCACCAACCCTGAAGGTGTTCAGAGAACACTGGGATGTTGTACTGAGGGACATGGCTTATGGGGAGTATTGGTGGAAGGTGGACGGTTGGACTGTGTGACCTTAGAGGTCTTTTCCAACCTTGGGGATTCTATGATTAGGTTTTAGGTGATTAGATTTAGGATTAGGTTGCTGATAGCTTCAGAAGTTATGCTCCACTTTGACATAATAACAGACAAGAGGAACACTTACAGAATTCTTAGAGAAGTTACGTCCTGCCTACCTGTGACTCTCACACTTTCCGTAATTTTCCACATTTCTGAAATCCTCATGTAAAACGCTGCAGTACCTCATGTTTTCAGTGCCAAAGGGGAGAAAAGAAAACAAAATCAGGAGCTTTGACAGATTTTTACTAAATTTTTTCTCAGCCAGTAAATTTGACAAGATAAGAATCATATTCTGAATATAGTTAATAATCTGAATGTAGTCTGTGAAACATCACTTAGATGCTGTTGCCTTCAGTCATGCCAGAAAGCAGCACGTTTCAGAATGAAAGTTTTCCAAAAGCTGTTAAACATCCAAAGGGTGATGTCTCACATCACTTTAACGAGGTCGTTTTTTTCCTGGTTATTAAGAAAACAAAAGTCTGTGGCAAGTGTGGTAAGATTTCATGAATAGTTTTGATGTGAGGAACATGAAGTGGAATGATTTTGTTTTCATGGAATAACCCAGGTACCCACGCATCCCAGCAAGAAGCAGAGACTTTCCATCAGGTGAATGGTGGGAGACCAATTATGCTATAGCCCTGTCCTTAAGGACTGCTGTAACCACTGGCAGCAGAACACCATCAGACTCTCCACAGGTGATGAGGTAGGCTCCAGACCCTGATAAAAAAAAGTGATGTCTAATAAACAAGCAGAAGTGCCATATTCTATCTTGGTTAGAGTTTTAAAATCTAAATCTTCCTTTCCTATTTGTATGAATAATTCTCATTCCACCATCAGGCACAGCTTTTTTGTGTGTGTTCGTTTGTTTGGGCTGAGAACGTAAAATGCTGCGTAGCTCCTTCACTGAATGTCTCTGCTCAATGCCATGCACCGTAACAGAATCGAGCTGGGAGCTTTGTGAAAACCCCAG